TAATATTGACAGTGGAGTGTTAAAATTTTCAACTATTATTATACGGCAGTCTAAGTCTCTTTGTAAGTCATCAAGAACTTGCCTTATGTATCTGGGTGCTACTGTATTGGGTTCGTATATATTTAGTATCATTAGCTCTTCTTGTTGCATTGATCCTCTTACCATTATGTAATGTTCTTCTTTGTCTCTTTTGATCTTTGTTGGCTTAAAGTCTATTTTATCAGAGATGAGAATTGCAACTCCTGCTTTTTTTTTTGCTCTCCATTTGCTTGGTAAATCTTCCTCCATCCCTTTATTTTGAGTCTTTGTGTATCCCTGCATGTGAGATGGGTTTTCTGAATACAGCACACCTATGGGTTTTGGCTTTTTATCCAATTTGTCAATCTGTGTCTTTTGATTGAGGCATTTAGTCCATTTATATTTAGGTTTAGTATTGCTATGTGTGAATTTGATGCTGCCATTTTGATGCTAGCTGGCTGTTTTGCCTGTTAGTTGATGCAGATTCTTCATTGTGTTAATGCTCTTTACCATTTGGTATGTTTTTGGAGTGGCTGGTACTGGTTGTTCCTTTCTATGTGTAGTGCCTCTTTCAGGAGCTTTTGTAAAGCAGGTCTGGTGGTGATCAAATCTCTGAGTACTTGCTTGTTCGCAAAGGATTTTATTTTTCCTTCACTTACGAAGCTTAGTTTGGCTGGATATAAAATTCTTGGTTGAAAATTCTTTTTTTTAAGGATGTTGAATATCAGCCCCCACTCTCTTCTGGCATGTAGGGTTTCTGCTAAGAGATCTGCTGTGAGTCTGATGGGCTTCACTTCATGGGTAACCTGAACTTTCTCTCTGACTGCCCTTAGCATTTTCTCCTTTGTTTCAACCCTGGTGAATCTGATGATTATGTGCCTTGGTGTTGCTTTTCTTGAGGAATATCTTTGTGGTGTTCTGTGTATTTCCTGGACTTGAATATTGGCCTGCCTTGCTAGGTTCAGGGAGTTTTCCTGGATAGTATCCTGAAGAATATTTTCCAGCTTAGATTCATTCTCTTCAGCACATTCAGGTATACCTGTCAAATGTAGATTGGGTCTTTTCACATAGTCCCATATTTCTTGGAGATTTTGTTCATTCCTTTTTACCTTTTTTTGTCTAATCTTGCTTTCTCGTTTTATTTCATTGAGTTGATCTTCGACCTTTGATATCTTTTCTTCTGCTTGGTCAATTTGGCTGTTGAAACTTGTGCATGCTTCACAAATTTCTCATGTTGTGTTTTTCAGCTCCCTCAATTCACTTATATTCATCTCTAAGTTGTCCATTCTCTTTAGCATTTCATCAAATCTTTTTTCAAGGTTCTTAGTTTCTTTGTGTTGGGTTAGAACATATTCTTTTAGCTCACAGAAGTTTTGTACCCACCTTCTGAAGCCTGATTCTGTCATTTCATCACATTCATTCTCCATCCAGCCTTGTTCCCTTGCTGGTGAGGAGTTGTGATCCCTTGGAGGAGGAGAGGTGTTCTGGTTTTGGGTGTTTTTATCCTTTTTGCACTGGTTTTTTCCTGTCTTTGTGGATTTATCCACCTGTCATCTTTGCCGTTGCTGACTTTCAGATTGGGTCTCTGAGTGGATGTCCAGTTTATTGATGATGAAGTTATTTCATTCTGTTTCTTAGTTTTCCTTGTAGCAGTCTGGTGCCTCTGCTGTAGTACTGCTGAGGTCCACTCCAGGCCCTGCTTGTCTGGGGATCACCTGCAGCAGCTGCAGAATAGTAAGGATTGCTACCAGTTTCTTCTTCTGCTATCTTTGTCCCAGAAGAATGCCTGCCAAATGTCAGTCTGATCTCCCTTTTGTGAGGTGACTCTTTGGATATACGGGGGTCATGGAGCTGCTTGAGAAGATAGTCTATCCTTTAGAGGAGGTCAAGTGCTAAGCTGTGAGCTCTATTGTTCATTCAGAGCTGCCGGGCAGGTACGTTTAAGTCTGCTGCAACAGAACACATAAACCCCTTTTTTTTCCCAGGTGCTCTGTCCTGGGGAGTTAGGGCTTTATTTATGAGTTTTCATTGTGCTGCTGTTTATTTTTCAAGGCCACCCTGCCCAGCAAGGAGGCAGCCTAGTCACTGTCTGACTGCAGAGGCTTTGCTGAGCTGCTGTGGGCTCCACCCAGCTGCCCTGTGAACTTCCCTGCAGTCCTGTTTATATGGGTGTAGTTAGAACTGCCTCGGCAATGGTGGCCCACCTCTGTAATGGTGGACTCTTTCTGTAATGGCGGGTTGCCTCAGCAATGGCGGGCTTCCTTGACAATGGCAGGCTGCCTCAGCAATGGCAGACTATCTCTGTAGTGGTGGAGTACCTCAGTAATGGCGGACACCCCTCCCCCACAGAGCTGGACTGTCCCGGTTTCAGCTGTGCTTGCTGTGAAACTCTCAAACCGAAGTGATTCCAATTGCTGTTTTTGTGTGTGTCGGGGGGTGGGGGTGGTACCAGCTGAGCCTGATCACCTGGCTCCCTGCCTCAGAGCCTTTTTTTTTTTTTTTTAGTTGAACTTTTGACTCTCTCCCAGGTATTCCAGTTGCCTGTTGAAATGGCACTGGGATCTGTGTGATTTCCTGTGGGGCGACCCACTACACCAGCTGAAACAGCGGCGCTGAGATTCGTGTCACTTTTTTGCCTGGGAATCTCCTGGCCTGGCTCCCTGTTTCAGTCCCCTTTTTAATCAGATGAATGGGTAACTCTGCCTTCCCAGAGGTCCAATAACCAGCTTAAAAAGGTACCCAGACCAGTGTATTTTGTATGGAGAACCACCGAGCCAGGGTGCTGGCAACACAGCTGCACTGAAACAGCCATGCTGGCAACCCATGAGGCTCCTCTGCCTGGGAATCTCCTGGCCTGTGGGCCATAAAAATCCATCTGGAAATGTGATATCCACTCACCCTCAGTGCTTTCACTGGGAGCTGCAATCCTGAGCTGCTCCTAATCGGCCATCTCAGATCTTCCCCAATTCCTATCACATTTTTTAGCTAGAATATGTCTGTACAGAACTTTTTCCCATCAGTTAGTTCTATTTGGTCACCTGGAAATGTAGATTGTATTGGGAAGGCACGATAATACTGTTGCAGGATTTTGCTCCTTAACTCAGCTAATTCTGGGTTCTAGTCACAAGTCAGGAAAAGTTAGACATGTGGACACACTGAAGGGTGAGTAGAACAGAATTTCATTGGACAAAAAGGGGAAAAAAGAAAAAACTCAACAAAGCAAAATGGTGTCCTACTAACAGGCCACTCACGTCAGGGATTGAATCCTAGATCACCACACAGGAACCAGAGATCAGGCTCCTCCTGCTGCCAGTGGCTCCACCCCATTTCCCCAGTGCATATATGGGCATGCTCAGACAAAGCCCTGGGCAGGTATGCCTAGGCATTTGACTGTCTCATTTCCCCCTCTAAAGAGGTACACCTAACTGCTTTTAGAATAAAGATAAGGATAGGGATGAAGACCACTCTTATCTGCTTCCTGCTGATAGGGGAACTCTGTCAAATCTCCCTCAGAGGTCTATCTCAGGGTCCCCAGCAAAAAGGGCCATTGTCCAAGGCTCTGGTTACATGACCATTTGGAGTTTGATTGCCTGAAGGGGAGAAGAGACAAACTGGGTCATTAGAAAACATGTATCAAAATGAAAAAAGGCTGGGGTAAGGACAGCTCAAGAATCCTGAGACCTTTTACCGGTTTGCACAGGGAAAGGGAGACCAAAACCCTAGCTGGTGAAACAAACTTTTACTCTTTTGCCAGCATGTCAGGCTCTGGCTTCCCTTCCCTCAAGCCCAATCCTAAGCCAGTCAGTTTAAGGTTTGGGAAATTAACTTTTCCCAGTTTGAAGGATGCATCTGAGAGGAGTGTCCCATACTGTGGAGACACAATTACCTATCAGCGAAGGGACAACAGAGGAGGAAAAAGGAAAAAGAAGGCATTTTTTTCAAAGGAGTCCCGGAGGTCAGGATGCATTTGAAAGGGGTATAGAAAGATGAATGGCTACTCATCTAGAAAAAGGGGAGCAGGCATCCCTGGATCCTTTCTCTCCCTAGCAAATATTGGAGGTTTGTAAGGGAGAGAAAGTGAGGTGTTGTGCTTTCTTTCTTCTATCCTGATATCCCTATGTGACAGTGTATCCTTATATATCCCTGGTGATAGTGACAGGATGCCATGAATAGGTATCGAAGTGGCTTTCACCCATGTTAATAGAGAGGCCTAGGGAGTGGGAGTATCTTCTCTTACCCATATATGCCCTATCTCTCCTGCTGTCAGTAGCCTTTGAATTCCCTATACCTAATTTACGCCATGGATACTAGCATGACCTTTATGGAATCTTTATGAGAATGCTGGCTTAACTGGAAGGAAGTAGGCATGCTGTGCCTTTTAACTTCTGTTGTTGTCTGCCTCTGGATCCCTCAGATTCAGTTTTCTTTCCTACGGCTTTGACTCAAAGCTTATAATTGAGTTTGGGTCAAAAATGTGTCTCAGGGTAAGGGCAGGTGCACGTACTCCTTATCATAAACTGAATGTTAAGGTACAGCTGGGGAATTGAGTCTTCCTCCAACGAGGGAAAGAAAAGGATGTCTTGTGACACACCCAGATATCCTGTGGCTATAGTTATGCTTGCCAAGATTCTATAGTTATGCTTGCCAAGATTTGGGTGCATGGTGCTTGGCTTGGTTAGCTCCCTTCCTTGGTCTTACTTTCCCAAAAAGGAAACGTCCAGGGCATCCTATTTATTCCCATCACCTGGCAGAATCTGCAGGATAATAGCTCAGACTCGAATATTAATCCAGATTTTTACATTACCCATCCTTTTGTTCTTTCTAGGCTGCAGCCAGAGATGGCTGGTTGGTTCATAGGAACGAGCAGGGTTAGTCTAAAATGTAGGCAAAAACTTAAAAACACCTAATAAGGCTAGAATTTAATGATGATATTTGAAACATAATTTTACCCTCTCTAGTCCTCAGTTTCTTTCTTTGTTTTTTTTAATATGAAACACTTCAGAATTTGCATATCATCCTTGTGCAGGGGCCATGCTAATCTTCACTGTATCATTCCAATATTAATATGTGCCGCCGGAAGCAAGCACCTAGTCCTCATTTCCATTAAAAACAAATAATGATAGGACTGCATTGTTTGCAAAACAGACTTTAGTCTTATACTTGGCCTAATTATTTGCATAAAATGCAGCAAAAATAATTATTTCTACATATGCCTTTTAGATTACTCTGTTCCACAAGGAATTTCAGATAAGACCTTTTAAAGCCAAGCCCAGCCATGGGTTTGTATCCTCAAATATCTGCAAGTTGAGTAAACTCCTCTTTCCTTCAGGTCCCAGGAGCATGTGGTTCCTGGACTTGTTGGAAAGTGACATTCTTTACTCACCACAGGTTAGGAATCCTGTATGGGGACTGTATAGACAAGGGTGTGAGACCAGTGTTTCCAAGGGGCTTTTCTCAGTTCTGCAAGTTGAGCTTGACTCCTTAAATAGAATCATATTCTTCCAGTCAAAGCCTTGGTAAGACAACCAGTTTCTCCAATTACATCCTGTTGCAAAAGAAAACAGATTTTTATTGCACCGATATAAACCACTATATTGCTGTAAGGATACTCACAGATGGTTTCCAAATTCTAGAGGAACCAGGCAAACAGAAACAAACATGCCCCAAATTTTGTTCATAGGAGTATACCTTTCTCAAGTATTAAAGGCCATAACTACTAGCTCAAAATAAGTTTCCTTGAGTCTGAAAAAAAACCAAGGATTAGCAATGTTCCAAGCAAAAGCCAAAAAGATTACTTCAGTTTTCTATTAGTTCAGTCCATTCAGTTAGCTCCTGTTTTGCTTGAAATTCATAAACATTTCACCTCTTCATGAGTCTTGACTGTTATTCCTTCATTCCAGTGTTACAGTCTCCAAGGTTATGAGAAACCTGTATTTGAGAGCACCTGTCAGAGTCCTATAGCTTATTACAGACCACCCTTTGAAAAGGATCAAAACAAGACAATAATTGTCTGGGAATAACAAAATATCCAAGGTAGTTTCAGTCAGAAATGCAATTGACATATAAGTTTGGTTATCTCTGTGGTTTACAATAACTTAACAACTTTAATTATGATTGATAGCATATACATTAGACATTAGAATTTTAGAAATACCATACAATTTTGGAACATACATTAGTATTATCCACCAAAATATAATCCAAAGTAGACTGAACACCATCTTGGCAATCCCATGTAACTAAACATGTAAAATAATCCTGCTTACCTCTCTTTTGGATACTCCAGGGGCCCTCTGTAGTATCCAAAAGCCAGGCATCAGGAAAGACAGTTTTGAAACTGAAGTTTGATTTCTGTTAAATATGGTTGCGCCTGTTAAATATGTTGATGTTATGAAATAGAATTCCAGATTACCATAAGTTATTTTGCCAAAATTATGACTCAGAAATTTAAGAAAGCAAAAAACTTTTATAACCCTTTACAAATTTTGCTAAAGAGTGGATTAGTGCCTTAAGACTACCTTGTTGCACTTTTATTTCAAAGCTTAATTTACAAAAAAAAACAACCATATAATGCCCTTTCGAACTTCATCAATATGTTCATACATGGAATATTTGCAAGATTAAATTTTACAGTTCTTCCATCATTTGTTTAAACCTTCAGCTTTATCTTCTCTAATTCAAAAGAATCCTTCAACTCTAGGCAAGAATTTAAATTTCCATGTCTTCTTATAATATTTTACTAAAAACACATCTTACTGTTCTTACATGCCTTGCACATAAATCTATTTCCAGTTTCAATTACATGTTATAATGGTAACTCATAGCAATTTTTAACTTTAATGTAAAACCTGATAAGTCATTTTAATTATGTGCTACATGCAGCCAAGATTTGACTCCTTCCAGCATAATTAAGGACATGGTTAATTCCATATGTCCGCAGGCCTTACCAACTGTGAAGCAGGCAAGTCGAACAGTTCTCAAAAACCAAAAAAGGCAGTTTATAACCTTTAAACATTTAGCAAACCTAGTATTTGAACTGCATAATTTAGTTCACCAATTTACATTTTGACAGCATCTGCATTTCACCAATAGTCTTTAAGGCTGTTTTTGTTTCTCAAAGATTAAAGTCACATGAATTAAAAAGTACCACAGCTTTTATCTTCCCTTTAAAAAATAATTGATCCAAGTGCTTATCTTCCTTTAGGCCAGCCAATTAATTAGGACTCTTTTTATAGATATTACACATATAACATATATACAATTACACAGACAGGCAGAAAAGGATGCAGTGGTTATAAGATTTTTTATTTGCCAGTCTCCTAAGTGGCTTATTGGCCTCTTACACATGAATTAAGAGTGGCAAGACAAAATGGAGAAAAGGAATTCAGTCAACTGAGGAAAAAAACACTTTTTCCAGCAAACAATATCCAAGAAAAGAAAAACATAAAAGCCTTTTAAATATCCCTATAATTTAGATATCTTTTAATTAAGCTGAGCACTCTTGAAGAAAATCCTTTTAAATCCCTTGTTACCCGACATTAGCCATGCGAAGTGTCCAATACTTCTGGCTTTCAAACTTTACTAAAGGTAACCTCGGAGAAAGGAAAATACAAGGTGGTTTGTGGAGGGGAAGAGGAAGAACAAACAGCAATAAGTTTTGTAGATACCAAACAAGAAAAGACTCATTCCCTATGTCAGGATTGAACCCAGCTGCCACTGTAAAATGGCAGAGGCTAAACAAAGCATTGCTATGTTACAGGTCATGCTTTCAAGAATGTAAAACAAGATGGAGGCCTGCAGCAAAGTTTGCTACTGACCATATAGAAAGTCATGCAAAGCACTCTAGACAGCCTAGACCAACAGCCTAGACACACTAGACCAACCTTACAAATCCTTTTTCTTTAATCAAAAAAATTTTTTGAGACAGTCTCACTCTGTTACCCAGGCTGGAGAGGAGTGATGTGATCTTGGCTCACAGCAGCCTCTGCCTCTCAGGTTCAAGGAATAATCCTGCCTCAGCCTCATGAGTAGCTGGAATTACAGATATCCACCACCACGCCTGGCTAATCTTTGTATTTTTAGTAGAGAGAAGGTTTCACCATGTTGGCCAGGCTGGTCTCGAACTCCTGACCTCAGGTGATCTGCCCACCTTGGCCTCCCAAAGTGCTAGGATTGCAGGTGCGAGCCAATGCACCTGGCCCCTTAATCAAAACTCTACAAAGAATATAAACAGTGATGGGATCCTGGCTTAGAAAAAAGTATTTCTTAAAGGAAAGTCTTAAACTTAAAAGCTAATACCTGACAGGGTGGAGAAAAGGATAAAAAAGAGTGCAGGGTTGGAAAGATGCCTGGGGAAAGAACCTCTTAAACAAATGGATTCCTCCAACAGGGAGAGAAACTTAATTGCTGTGCCCTATTGGGCACCCTTGGACCAGAGGCCATCTGCCCCAGCCCTGGCCAGGAAGGGAGGGGGAAAGCCACCATTTGCCTATCCACCCTGAAAATAGATGGCAGAGGCTGACATTCCCAAACCCCAGGAGCGACTGTGGGGAAAGAAGGCATAATTTCCTCTACTCTCAGAAGTACAAGGACAAAAAAGCTTAGAAGTGAAGGGGAAAAATATTTTTTGGCTCACATCTTACCCTTTCTCAAGCCCCATGTCTGGGTGCCAAAATATTACAGAATTTTGCTCCTTAGTTCAGCTAAAACCAGGTTCTTGTCATAAGCTATGAAAATGTAGGCACACAGGCACATTGAAAGGTGAGTACAGAGGATTTTATTGGACAAAAAGGGAAAAAAAGTAAAACAAAAACAAAAAAACCACACACACACACACACACACACAAACCGAAATTGAGATAGAGTCCTGATAATAGGCCCCCCACCTCACAGACTGAATATCCCACCACATAGGAACTGAAGAGGCCAGGCTCCTCTGCACCCCTGTGGCTCACCCTGTTCCCCCAGTCTGCTGTGAGCATGCTCAGATGAGGCCCTGGGTAGGTTCCCTCATCTGCACAAAAGCATCTGATGTAGACACTTGTGGGGCGGTTTAGAGATTCTCCAGTGACCCCCTTTTATTTACCTAGGCATTTGGCTGTCTCAGTACTTAGTTATTTCCCTCTAATTGCCAATTTTCAAAGTAAGGATTAGATACAGCTGATGGTATCCAATAAGTTTGTTTATTTGTTTGTTTTGGCACTCTTTCCCCCCTCATGCACACATTTGGGTTTTTACATATTTTATGTATTTCAACTGCATTCAGTCACTACTTTTTCAGAAACTTAAATTATCCCATCTTTGGCCAGCTGGAGCCCCTTCCTGTTGATTCCTGGGTTATTTTTATACAATCCACTGATCTTTGATAACTTCACAGCTTTTAGCTCAGCAAGATAGTCTAGCCTCATCTTGTACATGTACCACCCTAACCTTGGAATCAGCCATCCAAGAAATTCTGATTCCTTTTCAAGGGAAACGTCATTTGGGGACCACAATCTCGGCACTAGAAGTTGCTTATTGCTCATGGGTTTTTCATACTTCTAGGCCTTTCTGAAAAGTACAAAAATAGGATATATGTACTTTAAAATGGAATAAAAAAACCTTGACACTTACACTGATATTTCTAATTCAAATTTATATTGTTTTATTTATATTAATGTCTTTGATTTTATATTTCTCTTCTCTAACACTGAAAATCTTGGTTCCTAACAATATTAACATAATTACAATATAATTATTACTTTATCTTAAACTATACAGAAAATAGTTTAAAAGTACTAATGTGAAGACTACCATACCCAGCCTAAGTCATCCATTCTGATGCATATCTATTATTATCTCTCAGAACCTGGCACCTTTTGAACACCCTTTTGATGTTTGGAGAATTTTCCTGTTTTGAGTCCCACCAAGTTAGAAGGCAGAATACTTATTCCTCCTCTCCTTCCTTTGCAGCTAGGACACAGGGATGTGATTGGTGCTCCTCCAATCACATGCACTTGTGAGAAGTTGGTGAAAGGGGCAATAGAAGAGTTAGTTCCTGACACAGAAGTGACATTGTTGCCTTCAGCAACAGCAGTTACAGTCAT